CCAAACCACCATTTTCATACATTGCACTAATTACAGCTGCCATTCAAAATAGTCCGGATGGAAAAGTAACATTAAATGGAATTTACCAATTTATCATGTGAGAAAAAAGGAATTACAGTTAATTTCAGATTCAAATAGATAGTGTATTCTATTTTTATATATATATTTTTTAATTTGGACACTGAGAAAATTAGGTTTGTGGAAACACGAGAATATTTTCTTTCCGTTATTCTCAAATAGGATGACAATCAGGAAACAACACTTCATATAACATTAATTCAAATAAAATCTTATTTTAATAAATGGATACTTTTTTAATATGAGAAACAAAACGACAAAGGCAAAAGAGAAAATTATTACAATTTTTTCTAAAAAATGATCCTTTTTTTTACTTTTTAATAGATGAAAATGAATTGATATAAATGAGCCTAATGAACACTATTCTATTGATCTATCACTTTACATAAGAAAGACTGGTAAATGTTGATCTGAGAGATACTTTTTGCAGACATCACTTCTGACAAGAAAAAGATCTCTATATACTTTTGTTCCAACGTAAGTAATTGTTATAGTGATAGATCATCTTCTAAATCATTTTCTGAAATTTTGAGATGATCTACATTCAGTAAACTTTTTAATTAGGTAATGGTTTGGAATGCAATGTGATTTTCTCTAAAACTATTCTTACGATACGATCAAATGTATTGTAATTGTTCAAACTGGTATTCTTTTATTGTGTTTTAGTCTCGTATGTGAAAAAACGTCTCAGTTGAATATGTTAAATATATTGATAGAAAAATTTCGGTAAATTTTGGTAGTAGATTAAATCAACATTCAGTTGTAATAGAAAATGATAAAGCGTTGAATATAGTTTGTTAAAAACAAAGGTAAAATTAATCATTAAATTATTTTTTGTATATAGTTTTTTGTTTTCATTTATAAGATATTATTTTGAGTTTGTCAACCACTACGCGAATATTAAACGATTTTTAATGATTAATATTAAACAAAATCATGTGTTACAACCAACTTGTAAAATATCACACTTTCTCTTTTTATGTTGAAGAGAAAACTTTGGTAACTCTTATATTTCAGAAGTTAATTGATCATTCATTATTCTCTTATCCAAAAGAATTTTTTAAGGAAAATATATTCGATCTATTGATCATATAAAAGCAAGATAATGATGATAAAAAATCGTACAGAAATTACTTATCTTTGATTGTATATAGTGCAAAGTGGTGGTTTGGATAATAGTAAAGAAGAAGGACGCGATGTTATGGATAGAAATGCGTGACTGTTCCTCTATTAGAATCGTCTGATAAGGACATATAGTTTTTGACAATATTTCACCAAAGAGATATGGACTTATAGTGCTAATAATTTGTGTTAGAGAAGCCTATTATATGTTTGAAGAGACTATCATGTTATAATTGAGTGCTGACAGTATTCTTTTTTATTTTGTAGTTAAACCAAACATTGTGTACGAAATATAATTCAATATGATAAAGATAGTGATGATTTGGCAGAATTTTTGAAGTAGAATATGATACAATGGTATGAAGAAGAGAGAAGAAGTGCAACATTGCTGATAAAAGATCATTGAATCAAAAATCTTTTATATAGTTTACAATACAACATTTTTAACTTAGCTGTATAATGAATAGACGAAATTGTTTGAGTAGGTATGTTTCTGGGTTAACAAGTTATTAAACTGTTTTTTTTTGTCTAGCACGTAATATCATTATCCTATTTTAGTTTATTTAATGGTATTTTTACTACTAAATGATATTTCACATTATTTGCTTGTTGCATTATATTACAAAGTTTTTATTACGCTTGTAAGTTTAATACTTATTGAACATATAATTGGTTAATAATTATATAGAGAGAATAGAAAAAAAGGAAAGTTTTTTCCGTTATATTCTTTTTATGAATGCGTGGGTTCATTGGAAACATTTTCTTTAAATAATATAAGGATAAAACCTATATTGGAATGTAGAAAAGGAATTCTTTCTATTCTTCTTCTTTTTTTTATATATCTGCTCTAATATTATCCTTTGTAGCAAAATGTACACACAACCACTTAATAGTGGCAATACAGCATTTTAAAAAAATAGAAATAATACAAGAGGAGATTCTACGGGAAAAAAAACGGAGAAAAAGAAATAGATGCCGACAGCAAGTATTAATGATTTCAACTATAACAGATGTGCACGTAAAAGAAATAAACCGAGAACATAATATTTAAATAAGCTCCCCATATTTACTCCTTATTTTTATTGTTGTTTTTGGCCATTTATTTCATCATGCAACTGCAAGAAAGGGTTTTACAGGTAAAAATAACGTTCATTCTAAGTTTTTTTGATATTTTTGTTCGTAAATGTGTTATCGCATTTTTAAAAACTTTCGATGGCGTTTGTGCTCATTTATAAGAAAATGATAAAAGACAAAAAAAATTCTTTTTTAAATAGGATGTGAATAGTAAAAAGAATAAAATCAAAAGTTATTTTTAATATATATTAATTAATCAGAGAGCAGAATACTAATTTAATTTAATATAGAAATTGAATTAACCCTAGACAAAGAAATAAGCAATATTCGAGAAGCATTTCTCCTGTCAAGAAATTATTAAAACTTTACTGCTAGCTAGATAAGATGTGCACAATGCAAAATTAAAGCAATTTTTTTTTAATTAGAGCTTTTTTCATGTCGGAAAATCGAAAATACTTGAAGAGTATAAAAATTCGAAAAATCCTTCAAGTTCAAAAACTCTTTAATATTTCGGCTCTAAATTGTTTTGAAGCCTTCAAACAATTATTTTCGGATTCAGCATTAAAAACTGAATAGAAAAACAGTGTTTGATTAATTTTGAAGTTAAAAGCCTGTCGAGCATGGACGTCTGAAACCAGCCCTCTAAAGTGCGGGCATGCAATTTTGTAAATCTATCTAGTGTGTTAATGGTTGCAGCCGTCATTTGTACATCATTAGGTCTGCTGAAAGCTCAGCTTTAAAAGTACGCTTCGCTTTTTTTAAAATTTTGTTGTGTTACTGAAAAAGTTCATTTTTTCTAAATCAAAGGTGAAAAAGTCGAAATTCTGCCCGTAATTCTTAATTTTCTTTATCAGAACTCAATTTTTATGCAATAAAAATATCATATTCGGAATCACGATCAAAAACTGAGTCGACTGATGTATATTTTGAAATTTTTAGTTGATCTTCAGTTTTGGGTGGAAATCTGGATAATTTTTAGACGTGAAAATTCGAAAAAAATTGAAGTATTCGAATAGAATAGAAATGTACATTAATCGACTCAGTTTTTGATCGGGATCCTGAATATGATATTTTCATTGCATAAAAATTGAGTACTGATAGAAAAAACGTACAAGTGATATCTTTTTGATCTTTTTTCTATTTAGTTAATGAAAGAAAGTTTAGATACATTATCATTAACATTTGAAGAATTTTGTCATATTCGTACGTATTTTTTGAGCAAATATGGGATATCTATATTGTTTTAATTCAAATATTGTTTTTGTATAATAGGTAATGTAATTACACGTGCAGAGTTAGAAACATTGTTATTTGATCGAAAATTATACATTGAAGTTGCTCAAGGAAAGGTAATAATTAAAGTGGAAAGTATGACTTTCTGTAGGTTCAGTTTAAGTCTAAATGAAATATTTGTTGACTTACATCTGTTTTATCAGTTCTTTACTGATTTAGCTTTGTTTTACATGTCGAAAAATTCATTTTAATTTATTAACGCTAACATTTGGTATTCAATGTCGTATTTGCAAACAACGTGTATGTAAATCGTGCACAACACAGGTAAAACTATTTTTACATAAATTTGAAATTGAGTAATATCAAATTGAAATATTTTTATTCACAGATTGCTTTACCAGTAGAAAAATTGAATGATATACCCGTTCAAACATTTACACCTTCTACATTCTCAAAACCATTTCCATTAGCTAATCAACAAAAATATCATTCATTTGAAACAAAGTAAGATGAAATTTTAGTGAGTGTTCCAGAAGAAACAGTAGTAGCAATATTATTCAGTTATTTTTTGTAATCCTTATGTTTCTTTGAATTAATTATTTGTTTGCAAAATATTTCCATTCAATTCTGTATAAGAAAAATGTCTGAATGTTTTTATTAAAAAATGTAAAAGTGAAAATGAGATTAAAAGCTTTACATTGCCTAGAATGAAAAAATAATTAAAATCTTTTAATATTACTTTGAGTTTTTAAATAGTTGTACAATCATTAAAATGTGTTTAATTGAGTTTTTGTTTTGACAAAACTCTTTTATATAATGTAGTTCGATTCACTTTCAAACTATTGTCTTGAAAATTATTGTTTGAAACAACGAAACGTGGAGGTTTATGATTTAAATAAATGTAAGATGTTCAAAGTTGGTGTTATCTCCATTATTTTCATACTCAGATTATCATCCATTATAAGAAAACAATTATCCAAAATGGAAAAAAAGTAACTTGACAGTCAATTTCGAGAGCATTATTTACGCTCGTTGCAGTTTCAACTTATTCAGTAAAACCAGTATAATTCGATCAAAAATTAATGTTTTAAGATAATATACCTTTATTTTAGAAATAAATGACTAGTGGATGCATCAATATTTCACAATTTGAATAAATTTCTTGTTTCTTGAGACTGAAAGGAAAGGTTAATTTTTCGCTGTATTTTCAAAAACTCAATCAAACACATTTTAATGATTGTACAACTATTTAAAAACTCAAAGTAATATTAAAAGATTTTAATTATTTTTTCATTCTAGGCAGTGTAAAGTTTTTAATCTCATTTTCACTTTTACATTTTTTTAATAAAAACACTCAGATATTTCTCTTATACAGAATTGAATGGAAATATTTTGTAAACAAATAATTAATTCAAAGAAATATAAGAATTACAAAAAATAACTGAATAATATTGTTACTACTGTTTCTTTTTAAAAACTGTTTACTCATTTCTTCTATAACGGGCGCATCGAAGGCAATCTTCAGAGAGAGAACGTGGTGTGTTTAGAACTGATGTACTTGAATTAAATCGCGAAAATTTGCGAGAACGCTAATAAACCCTGATACAATTAAGTAGTGGTCTGTAGTCATGCTAGAATTAGTTCATGAGAAGTGGAGGAAAGACGATAATTGAATTAGACATACATCAGTTCTATAACTAGTATCAAATCTTTCCCTATAAAATGAGACATTTCACAAGTCACAGCGGTTCTTAATAATCATGTTATAAAAGTGTCTCAGATGTAGGAAAACCAGTCAGAAATCACTGGTACCTAATTTGACTATTTCTTTGTAATAAAATATTTAGTTTTAGACTTATTAATGTGCCTGTTTTTTTGTAATTTGTCTGATGACTATCTTATTTTTTATTCAAGATCACCAGGTACACCAATGACGATGAATGATATATTGAGTGAATTGCCAAATCCTTCATTTCATCGAAAATTGTCATCAACTTATACTCGTTCGTCATCATCATTTGAATGTCAAGCTGCAATGACATCAGCAAGTAAAAAGTTAAAAGTTGAAACAATAACTATCTGCACAGTGAGTGTCTAGAATGTATCATGTTCAGTTTTCTTACACACTCTTGTATTTTCACTCAGGATTGTTATTTTCTTCTCAATCAAGTATTGAACAACTATCGTCAACGTCATTTATCCATTTGTCATTCTTCTACCATTCCTCGTGTACCATCATTTCATCGTACTTATTCTTCTCCTCGTTCAACATCAAATAACAATTTATCCAGTCCATCAGCATCTACCTCATCTTTTTCTCAGCAACAACAACGAAAATTATCAATAAAAACATCATCATCAATAAACAATTTAAAAGCAAAATCAGCAAATGAATTATCAATCAATCCCACTACTTCTACCACTAGTATCACGTCTTCTTTACCCAATTACAATCATAATCGTGTTAGTTTATCAAGACAAAATTTATTTTTAAAATTAAAACCAGCGTATGATATGACAACAATGAGTAGTATTAAGACAGGCTAGAAATTTTTATTTTTCTTCTTCAAATTAATGTGAAATTATTCATTTTTTTTTTCGTTTTTCTAAATTTCATATTCCAATATTAAAACTCAGTTCGTCTTGTTTTATGTAACATTTGTACAGATTTTTTTCGATATGATAATCGTTATATCTCATGTTTCTTCCAAGAAAAATGTAACAGTATTTATGATTCCATGATATTGTATTTATTTTTATTTATTCCACCTATAGATGTAGCTATTCTTCTCTATAAATAATATTTATTGTTTTAGTTTAGAAAGAATATGAGAATAAGACAAATTATAGGACAAGTGAAAAAAAAATAATCGTATACTATAAACCCCATAAAAGAGTGTTGAAATTATTGAAAGATGAATAGAAATACTTTTATTTCAAAGTTTGTCTATTATTTTCTACATATGATGAGAGAGTTTTCAAAATAGAATAAAATTCTAGTCAAATATCGACACTATCTATTTTGTACATGTTAATGAACACTGATGTTTATGAAATAAATCATCCAAGATTAGAAAAAGAATATAATAAATATTTTACTGATGTTTTCATTGTTAATTTTCATTACTTTAAATTTAACTAATTGACTTACATGCATCAAAACGAAGTCATTTCCAAATTATAGTAACTTATTTTCTTTTAGAATAGAATGTCTTCATTTTACCGTCCAATTGTTTATTGTCTAAGTATTATTGGCATATTGTTATCTCTATATGCATTTTATGTAGAACAAAACAAAAAACGTGATCCAAATTATAAAGCAGCATGTGATTTTGGTTCAAGAGCTAGTTGTTCACGTGTTTTAACATCAAAATATGGTACAGGATTTGGTATTATTGAAGGAATATTAGGAAAAGATAGTGTATTAAATCAAGCTGATTCAGTATTTGCTATTTTATTTTATTTATTATCAATTATATTGAATATGTCAAAAAATTCAAAAATAATTGCTAAAATACGCGTTATATTATCCCTGATAACAAATTTAGGTTCAATATATCTTGGTTACATTTTATATTTTATATTAAATGATATTTGTGTTGTATGCGGTTCAATGTATATTGTCAATTTTCTTTTATTAATATGTAATATTGGTTTATTCATTCAACTAAATAAAACTCAAGTTCATCTAACGCGACAAGATGCAATTAGACGAAAAAAACAATAATATATGAGAACTCTACACATCTGTTGTTGTTGTTTTTTTATTGTTTTAATAAAATGTTTATGTTTATAATGGATACGTTATTCTCTTACCGTTGAAAACACTAGTTCAAGTTTTAGTCATTAAAAATCATCTTATCCTATGTTTTTTATTCTATGTTTGTTGTTGTTGTTATGTGAAATTAAAAAACTTTCTTAGTACCATTTAATAAGATATTGTTCTATATTTATTTCTTTAAAATCATTTTTTAGTTACGCATGGTTAAATTACTAGCATTAACAAAAGATTCACATATCAGTTATTTCATTGTATTTTAAGATTAGATGTTTAATTGTCTTGATGATTTTTGACAGAGATATGTGAAATAATTGAGAAGAATTTTCTATCAGCTTTTTTGTTATTTTCTTTTAAGTAAAATTTTGTTGTCTGCTGATCCGTAACAATAAACGAATCAGTTAAGAAAACGTATCTATTGTGTGCGTTATACATATGCACCTGATGCTTCTTTTTTCTTTTCAATTTTTAAAGTATAAACAGAGCTTTTCTTCTTTTTCTTTTTTTATGGACAAAATCTGTTATAGTAGGACGATTGTGTTCAACTTTTTTTCTTTTTTTTTTTTTATTTGTATCGTTTTCTCTTTTTCTGCTTTATTTTCTTTTTTTTTGACTATCAACAGCTGTTTCTTATTGATGGGTCACAATAATGTTATGCATGCTTGACTCTATTTTATTAGACTTGTGAATATATAGAGCTAATGAAATGAAAAAAATTTCTTTTTCTTTAATATTTGGATCAATATTTTTTGGAAGAGAATATTTTAGAGAATGAAACTTTTTTCTAACTAAAACGTGCATAGATCAATGAGAAAAGGTTATTGTTGTTTAGAATACGAATTTTATAGGGTTTTGTTTTTCTAGTGAAAATTTTAAACAGCTGAAACGAGAACGGGTTTTTAGATGACGAAATCATTTTCGCTAATTGATTGATCTTTTTTTTATCTTCTCAAGTGATCTCTTTTTATCTTTTTTGATCAAAACATTTACGTTCTCTCAGTTATTCGGAATATATGCTCACGTTGCATGAGTACTTTCTAATAAACAATCTGCTTATATTTCACTTGAAATACATCCTTCGATGACTTTAATATGTCAAATATCCGTTCTCCAATCTTAAGTCCGTTCTCTATCCAGTTATAAACAATTTCCGCTCTGTAAAACAGTCAAATCGGTCTTCAGACTGTGAAAGATCTTGTTGTAAAAAATATTTTTTCATTTTTCTTCTCGTACTGTATTTTTGATGAAGTGTGTTATATGAGAAAACTTTCTATCTCTTTATTATGGCTATGGATTCAAGTTATGTTCATATGAATTTTGAATGAGATATTCATTGTTACACATTAGAAGTTAAATTGGAAGACGTATTAGCACGATACATATAAAAAATATGCTCGAGAAATTATTGTTCATAAAAAAATTTACTAAAATCTTTGTTAATAACAATGAAAATATCTCTAGTCTAGTCATTATTTTTTTGACTATCGTTAGCAGTATTTGTCCGTTTGTTCTCGATTATTGTTGTTAAAAAGATATAAAAAATATAACAAATAAATATAAAAAATGAAAGTATTAACGAAAATGATGGTACGAACAAACGAAGTTAAACAAAATATAAGACTTGAATCAACTTTTCAATAAAAACAGATTTAAGTTATACTCGACTGAAAACATGTCAAGTAAGCTGAGATAGAAGAAAAATTATCATGATATGTTGAAGAACAATCTTATCAACGTATCCCTCCTTAGGAAGATATAGAATTTATGCGAATATAGGCTAATCTAAAGTTAAATGTTTGCTACAGATACATTTAATAATTTCTGTTAGCCACTACTTTTGTGTATTGCATGTTTGATGTATTTTTCTGTGCTCTCCCTGATATTATTATTTTTCTCTTGAGTGAAAAAAAAAGAAAAAAGAAAAAAAAAAGAAAACGGAAAAAGCATCACAGCAGTTGTGATTAATCGTAAAAATAGAACAAAAAAAAAATGCTAAGAAGGGCAGAGCAATACACACACACAGAAACACATACACACACTTCTCTTTTTGTTGGTTTAAGAAGAAAAACAAAGTTTGGTATTTTTTTATGGATATTATGTTTCGAAGGAAAAAAGAACGAGAAAAAAAAAGTCATCTACATATTGCTACTCTATGTTACGTTTAATGTGAAGAAAATAAAGTTTTATAACTGTAATCATATCATGCTATTTTCAAAGTTTATTTAATATAAAAAAAATAAAAATAAATAAAAATAATATTTTCTATCGACACATGGTGTTATATTATTGATTAATTGTTAGATATTCTGTAAGTATTCACTGACAAGGTGATATTTATAAATTTAAAAATGAAACAAAAACTTGAATTACTTTTACACTTAGTTAGCGATTCGTGTGTATCATAAAGAAATTGTAGTCTAAGTAAGTATTTAATTTCATTTTATTTCTCTTCTTTCTTGATCAACTTTGTTTTATATTACCAAAAAAATTTTCCATTCAATTCTCTACAAAAAAATAAAAAAAAATGTATTGACTGTTTTTAATTCGAAATTCGAAGATGAAAAATGTGCATTTATGCCACTTATTAAAATAGATAAAAAAACTAATGTAATTGAGAGCTCAATTTTGTTCGAATAGTTGTATAAACATCAAAACATAATTGTAATATATTTTTGTGTAGTTTTTAGTGCACTCTTTCTCAATGTGTACCGATAAAATTTATTCGAATCAAAATAGTCAAATTTCAAAGATTGATTTCTTGGAACTCGAATGAGAATAGCAAAAATGTTGAACGGTTTTTGTACATTCTAACCGAAGAGTGATCCCACAATATTAACTATCTTTAAAATAAAAAACAAATTCAACTTGAAATGCCAAAAATTCGAGTAAATTACACTTCTTTTAATGACCAGGGATGGCACATTACTGTTACTTTTACGAGTAATCCAAATAGTATATATATTCCTATTACCGGTATCAGTAATTTTACAGTTGCTGGTAATAGGACTATATACAATATTTGGATTACTTGTAAAAGTAACGGTAATGTGCTACCCCTATTAATGACGGTCATAATTTACCGGTAAAATCTTCACATGTTTAGGTTTTACAATTTCACTTTTAACTATACAAACTTTTAATTATAAGTGAGAAGCTAGAACTTTTCAAGGTCTACACGATGACTACTTCAGTTTTTCATAAATGTTGAATAAATAATATTAAAAAAAAAAAAACGATTTTTAATTTATTTTTTATATATTTTAATACTTAACACAAATTCTCATGTCATTTTTCACCTTCGAATTTCGAAATAAAAAACAGTCAATTCATTTTTTTTTTTTTTAACTGGAAACAACAGAAAGAAACTATAGCTAATATACACATTGATTACTAAAAATTGCATACAATTATTAACTTTGAGCACGATATATTCACTTTTCTNTTTTTAAATATTTTAAAACATAACCCAAATTCTCATGGAATTTTTACCCTTCCAAATTCGAAAAAAAAAACACTCAAAAAATTTTTTTTTTTTTTTTTTTTGTAGAGAATTAAATGGAAAATATTTTTTAATAAAAAAAACATAAATTTGATCAAGGAAGAGGAGAAAAAATGAAAATACTTAGACTACAATTTCTTTTTGATATACACTCATTACTCAAACTATTACTTAAACTTTTCTTTCACAATTACTAACGTATTCACATATTTACTTCCTCTAGAATAAACTATTACTTGTAGGCTATAATCTATTTGACTTAGTTTTCTAGAAATGTTTGATAATGTACTGGATGATTCAGAAATTTTTTTTTTAACGGTTCCCGTATTTTGACTATAATTTTCTTTTTCTTTTTTTGTTCGAACTCGAAGGTTTATCGAGTACACTGAAGGATGCATCATAAAATTTGCTATTCACCTGTATATTTAGAATTTTTCGAATTCCTTTGCAGATAATTTTTAATAATAAAAAGAAAAATTTGAATGTTGAAGTACAAATGGTCAACACAACGAATACAATCGATTTATTAAAATCATTTGGTCAATGATCTACTATTCAAACAAAAACTAGCGATATACAAAAAAAAGATTAAATTGAAAGAAAAGGTATTACAAAAAATATTGAACGAGTTAAATAATACATCAGAAAGTTCATCAATTATTAAGAAATAATCTAGAATATTAGCCAAATATGTTCAATATATATTTTTTAAAAGAATAATATGAGAAAAGATTTTATTTTTTTAGATGAAAAAAACTTTTGAATAATGATGAATTGTACAATTTTCAAAATGAGAGGATAAATGAAAAATTATTAAAAATTTTATAAAGAAGAAAATACAAACGGTGATGATTTATTTGATTAAAGACTTGAATTCAAAAATATAATATGAGTGGTTGTTTTTTTGATATAATGATTCGGTAAATGATAAATGATGATTCAAAGGAGTATTTTCTGTAACATTAGAATGTAAAAGTATAATATTCGACAACGATTGACTATTTTAATATGACAGAGTACTAATTCATATCCATTGTTAAACACAAAAATGTTGTGATAATTTGGTATATTTGAAAAAAACAATTATAGTCAAAATATGAAAACTGTCATTTTTAATCTGAATCACTTTGAGGATACAATATATTAAATCTTCTACATTAACATATTTTATAATTATTTTAAGAGTTCATCTATAGTATTTTACTAGTAAAAAATCTGCGTTTGACAACGCTTACTTGTGAATAGTTCCAATTACACAAACAACAGATAGAAGGTAACAATTGTCAAGAAAGACAGAATACTAGGGAAAAAATTTTTTGTGAATAAATGAACTTCCTGAGAGAAAAAAAATTTTCTTCTCTCATAATGAGAAAGAGAATAGGAGAGTGAGTGTTCTTGAAAGTAGACATAGGCGGGACTCAAAAATAAAGTTTGATCGGGACCGGAACTG